GGTTTGGGTTGAAAAGGTCCTTAAAGATCATAGAACCATAGGATGATGTGGATTTGGGTTGGAAGGGACCTTAAAACTCACCCATCCCCCCTCTGATGTGGCTGGATGTGAGGAGGGGTGGAAGGCGAGTTGGGGGTCCTTCTCCCACCCTCACCCTGCTGTCCCCGTGCCCCCCAGGCTGGGAGTATGGCATCACCATCCCTCCGGACCGGCGGCCCAAGGCCTGGGTGCCAGCTGAGAAGATGTACCACACCAACCGGCGCCGGCGCTGGGTGCGACTGCGCAGCAGGGACCTGGCACAGATGGAAACAGTCAGGAAGGTGGGGTGAGAGCAGGGGAACGGGGCTGGGAGCAGCTCGGGGCTGCGTCCTCACATGGGGGGAGATGCTGGGGGTTGTGGCACTGGGGGCCTGAAACAGGAAAGCTGTGTGGTTTTCACCAGGGAGGTCAGCATCTGTTTGAGGTGGTGGCATCTCTGGGTGTTGGTGGCTGTGGGGTGGGGGACAAGGTACGGATCGGGGCTGTGCTGGCCACCCTGGCTCCATGTCCTTTCCCAGCCCCGCTCCCCTCTAGGTGGTGCCATTGGACTGTGGAAGCCGCAGCGCTGCGACGTTCCTGGGAATAGTTTCCCTCTTTTTCTCTCTCTCTTGTGAAAGTTTGGGATGGAAATGTTTGGGGACCGCAATCCCATTTCCCAAAGGGTCCCAGGCTGAGGGCTGACAGAGGTGTGGGGAGAAAAATCCCTTCTCGGCATTGGGACAATTAGCCTGGCGAGGAGGTCACAGAATCACACGGCCATGCAGGGTGAAGAGCTGTAGGGTCAGCGACCCACTGTGTGCGTCCCTATGCCACGTCCCCATGATTCTGGGACACCTCTGAGGATGGTGAGCCCACCACCCCATGGGCAGCCGTGCCAATCCTAGGATCACGGAACGGCCTGTGTTGCAAAGGAGCACAGCTCTCATCTCATCCAACCCCCTGCTGTGTGCAGGGTCACCAACCAGCAGCCCAGGCTGCCCAGAGCCACATCCAGCCTGGCCTTGAATGCCTGCAGGGATGGGGCATCCACAGCCTCCTTGGGCAACCTGTAACAGTGCCTCACCGCCCTCTGTGTGATAAACTTCCTCCTAACATCCAACCCAAACCTCCCCTGTCTCACTTTAAAACCATTCCCCTTGTCCCATCACCATCCACCCTTGGAAACAGCCGTTCCCCCTCCTGTTTGTCCGCTCCCTTCAAGTCCTGGCAGGCCACCATGAGGTCCCCCCTGACCTTCTCTGCTCCAAGCTGAACAATCCCAGTTCTCTCAACCTTTCACAAACAGCCACCCCAGGAGGGCTCAGAACTGCTGGGAATCCCACAGCAGCTCACACAGAATCACAGAACGGCCGGGGTTGGAAGGGACCTCAGGGATCATGGAGCTCCAACCCCCTGTTGCACGCAGGGCCACCAGCCTCCATATCTAAGGCTACACCAGGCTGCCCAGGGCCCCATCCAACCTCCAACCCCTCCAGGGATGGACGGGGCATCGCAGCCTCTCTGCAGCTGTTCCAGCCCCTCCCCGCTCTCACAGCACACAACTTCCCCTGACACCCAACCCCAAGCTGCCCTCCCTCAGCTCCCAGCCGTTTCCCCTCGTCCTGCTGCCATCTCCCCTTGCACACAGCTGCCTCCCCTCCTGGCTGCAGGCTCCCTTCAGGCACTGCAGGCTGCACTTTGCTCACCCCGCAGCTTCTCCTCTCCGTGCTGAACGAGCCCAGCTCCCTCAGCCTGCCTTTGTGATCGATGCTGCAGCCCCCTGCTCATCTCTGTGGCTCCTCTGCTCCCTCTCCAACAGCTCCCTGTCTTTCTCACAGCATCACAAAATGGCCCGGGTTGGAAGGGACCTCAAGGATCACGAAGCTCCAACCCCCTGTTGCACGCAGGGCCACCAGCCTCCATATCTAAGGCTACACCAGGCTGCCCAGGGCCCCATCCAACCTCCAACACCTCCAGGGATGGACGGGGCATCGCAGCCTCTCTGCAGCTGTTCCAGCCCCTCACCTCTCTCTCTCTGTAAAGAAATTCCCCTGACACCCAACCTCCAGCTGCCCTCCCTCCATTCAAACCGTTTCCCCTCGTCCTGCTGCCATCTCCCCTTGCACACAGCTGCCTCCCCTGCTGGCTGCAGGCTCCCTTCAGGCACTGCAGGCTGCACTTTGCTCACCCCGCAGCTTCTCCTCTCCGTGCTGAACGAGCCCAGCTCCCTCAGCCTGTCTTCATAGGGAGGTGCTGCAGCCCCTGCTCATCTCTGTGGCTCCTCTGCTCCCTCTCCAGCAGCTCCCTGCCCTTTTTGTACTGGGGGCTCCACACCTGGACGCAGCACTGCAGATGGGGCATCACGAGAGCAGAGCAGAGGGGAAAGCTCCAAGAAGCCGAGCAGAACCCGGGCACAACCTCACCCAAGGAGACCCCCCTCTCTCTTTGGTGGTGCTGAGCCCCCATCTCTCTCCCCGCAGCACAAGCAGGACGAGCAGGACGGTGAAGGCTGGGAATACGCCTCCCTGCTGGGCTGGCGCTTCCACCTGCGGCCCCGTCGCACCGACGCTTTCCGCCGCCGCCGCTGGAGACGCAGGATGGAGCCCCTGGAGCGCACCGGGGCTGCTGCCGTGTTCGCCTTGGAGGGGGCCCTGGTAGGTCCCCGACCGCCGGCCGTCTGCTCTTTGCTAACGCACAAAGTGAGAACCGGCGGCGGCGGCGCAGGGCTGCTGTGATGGGGCTTCGTCCCTTTTGGGTTTATCCCTCACCCCGTGCTCTGGGCCGACCTCCCCCCCTCTTGGGAGCCACCGTGGGCTGAGGGTTGGGTTGCATCACAGCCATGATGCAGCATTGGGGAGGTCCCAGCTGTCACCCACCCCCTGGTGTCACCAACCCTGAATCATGGAATCAGAATGGCCCGGGTTGGAAGGGACCTCAAAGGTGATGAAGCTCCAAATCCCTTGATACATGCAGGGCCACCAACCTCCCCATTTCACAGCAGCCCAGGCTGCCCAGGGCCCCATCCAACCTGGCCTTGGACAACTCCAGGGATGGATGGGGCATCACAGCCCCCCTGGGCAGCTGTTCCAGCCCCTCACCGCTCTCACAGCACAGAACTTCCCCCTGACATCCAACCTCAGTCTTCCCTCCCTTTACACCATGCTTTGGGAAATCTGGACTAAACTGATGGTGTGAGAAGCTCCTCGTGGGCTGGACCCAATGGGTTCCTTCCCAGGATTTAGGGGCAGAGGATCCTCAGCTCACCCCATGGTGCCAGGAGGCGAAGGCCCCCAGGTCTTTGGACACCCCAAGGTGTGCAGCCATGCTGCCCTCTCTTGCAGGGAGGAGTGACCGACGACAAAAGCGACGACGGCAAATCCGTCTCCACGCTGAGTTTTGGTGTCAACAGACCCACCATCTCCTGCATCTTCGACTGTGAGTCTCGTGTTGGGGGGGAGGACGAAACTCAATGGGGGCACCCCATGGCCGGGCATCACCCCATCATCCTCCTTGGGTGCCGTCGGGTGCCATTGGGTGCGGATGGGGGTCACCCCTGGCTGCTCCTCTCACCCATTTCTCAATTTATCCCAGATGGGAACCGCTACCACCTCCGCTGCTACATGTACCAGGCACGGGACCTGGCTGCCATGGATAAGGACAGCTTCTCTGGTGAGCCCATCGTGCGGGGACGGGAGTGTGGCTGTGGGGAGGGGGACGTGCTGGGATGGTGCTTGGTGGCCCCGCCGTCTCATCCCCGTGGGCTGTGCGGAGGTCACGGATGCTCCGTCACGCAGGTTGAGGTCCTCACCAGCGGACGTTTCGGTGCGAGGTCCCCCAGCTGAGCGTGCAGGGCTGTGAGCTGGCATTCCTGGGACACGCTGGGTTGGCCGTTGCCCCCTCAGACCCCGGGCTCTGCGTGGCTGTGAGTCGCCTCCTGCCGAGGTGGCTGGGATTCACCCTTGGCCGTTCTGTGTCACCCCCTGCAGACCCCTATGCCATCGTTTCCTTCCTCCACCAAAGCCAGAAGACGGTAGTGATCAAGAACACCCTGAACCCCACCTGGGACCAGACGCTCATCTTCTACGAGATTGAGATCTTTGGGGACCCCAAGAACGTGTCTGAGTGCCCTCCCAGCATCGTGGTGGAGATATATGACCATGACACCTATGTACGTGTGAGGGTGGTGGTGGGTCCTTGTGGTTGGAGGGCTTGGGGTGCCACAGGTGGGGCTGTGCGCTCGGCTGCCCAAAGCATCTTAAATGCCTTCTAATGTGACAGCATTTCGCAGTGGGATAACCCCAATCCTCCCCAGACTGGCTGAAACAGCTCTTGGGTTGGATTGGACTCCAATTGTAGAACCATTCAGGTTGGAGAAGACCTCCAACATCCCCAACTCCAACCCCAGCCCACCCCACCGTGCCCACTGACCCTGGCCTCTCAGCTCCATGTCTCTACAGCTCTCAAACACCTCCACCCCCACCTCCATGGGCAGCCCGTGCCCAGAACCCCCCAAAACGACCCCTGTGGATCTCAACGATCCCTATGGATCATCCCTTCTCGCTCAGAGCTCTCGCTGTGGGATCTGGGCAGAGGATCCTCACCCTCTCTATAAGCTAAACGCACAAAAACGAGCGTGTTTGTGCCGGGGCTGGGGGAGCACTGACATCTCTGCTGCTCGCAGGGTGCTGACGAGTTCATGGGGCGCTGCGTGTGCCGGCCCAGCCTGCAGCGCGCACCGCGGCTCTCCTGGCACCCCGTGCTCAAAGGCAGCAGGAACGTCGGCGAGCTGCTGGCTGCCTTCGAGCTCATCCAGAGGGAAAAGGTGAGCTCTCCTCCTGCTGCTCCACCCCCGCACGGTGCGGCCGTTCTGCTGTCCCCGCTGGGCTTGGAAACTTGCAGCGTGGGAGCGCGATGAGCAGAGCGGAGGGATGGGGGTTGGTGCCGGTCCGGGTGCTGGGGGCTGCGAGCTGCATGGCCCAGTGCTGCTCCTGCAGGGATGCGGGGCCCAGTGCTCCTCCTATTGCGTGGATGCGGATCCGGCTGCACCAGTGTAGGTCGTGTTGCTCCTCTCGTAGGGATGCATGTCCCAGTGCTCCTCCTGCACCGATGTAGGTCCCTCTGCTCCTCCTGCAGAGATGCATGTCCTGCTGCTGCTCCTGCTGCATGGATGCAAATCCCGCTGCTCCTCCTGCACCAGCGTAGGTCCTGCTGCTCTTCCTGCAGGGATGCAGGTCCCAGCGCTCCTCGTGTTGCATGGATGCAGATGCTGCTCCTCTTGCACCAATGTAGGTCCTGCTGCTGCTCCTGCAGGCATGCACGTCCCTCTGCTCCTTCTGCATGGATACAGATCCCAGTGCTTCTCCTGCACCAATGTATGTCCTGCTGCTCCTCTTGCAGGGATGCATGTCTTGTTGCTCCTGCATCCTTCTCCTGCACAGATGCAGGTCCAGCTGCTGCTCCTGCAGAGCACCCCGCTGCCTGCATGCTGCAGCCACAGAGGACGCTCCGGATCCTAGACCGGGGATTGCTGTGGGGACTGGTGCTGTGCCCCCCAGGGATGCTGGTGCTGGCTGTGCTATTGCTCGCTGCCTCCACGTGGGTCTGCAGCTGCTGGTGGGATGAAGGTGGTGATGCCCAGCCCTTCCTCACCCCGTGCAGCACCTGCAGGAGTTGGGGGGTTGAGCCCTGGTCTGGGGGTCCTGCTGTGCTCCCTGCTGCAGACAGAGCCCTGCCCTCACCGGGGGATTTGGGAGCCCAGTTTTGGGGCAGGGGCAGGGCTCTGCTGTTTGCTGTTTGAGCACAAATGGAAAACGTGTCTTTCCTCCACAGCCAGCTGTCCACCACATCCCTGGCTTCGAGGTAATGCCTTCCTCCTCCAACCGGGCGGGAAAGTGGAACGCGTCCCTTTCCCTTTGCTTTAAGAGCGTTAGGATGGGCTCGTGGGTGAGAGTTGCTTTCGTTTCCTAATCTCCTTCTGTTCCCCAAACAGAACGAGCTGTCCTCTGCTCTGGATGAGGTGAGTCCATCCCATCTCGTCGTCCTCACGGGGGCGCAGAATCCGTCGCGTTGGGCTTTTAGTGATGCAGGAGGGAGGTGGGCTCTGAGCTGGGCTCCCAGTGGCACACGGCTGGTGGTCAGCCTCGGTGGGATGAGCGTGCCTGAGATGCTGCACTTCTCTGGGAGAAGCGTGCCAAAGTAACCGTCTCTCTGCTCTTTCTCCTCCATTCTTTGCTGCTGCTGCGTGTGGACGGGGCACTGCAGCTCTGTGCCCCTGCCTTGTTCTACGAGGGGCTCCTCCGATGGGTACCTTTGTGCTCAACCCCTTTTTCCCTTTCGCCCTCCCTTCCTCTGCCTCGGCCTGGAAACCCCACAGAGGGAGCTGCACAACCTGGCCCTCCTGCCCCACAGGGTCCCCATCAGACCGACCCCCAAGGGCTGCATCTGAAACACTGACCCCAACCCCAATGCCACCCTGAGTCTCTGGTGCCCTTCGCAGTAATTAACAAGCCATCAGGTGATCCATCAGGCTCCTTCCCTATGGAAGGGTGCCAAGCCCAACCTCTGTCAGTGAGCAGGGAGCTCTGGGTCCCTCTCCCTGCTCTATGAGGGCAAATTCTGAAACCCTCACTTGCTGGTGAGGTGGTGGGCGCATCCTTCTGCCCACAGCCTGCAGGGAGGGCTCTACCTGAGCCCAGTCCTGATACCTGCAGGCAGTGGGTAGCCCGTGGCTCGAGTTAATGGGTGCATGGCTGTGGCGTTGACCTCTGGTGCTTGAACCTCCTTGGTGATGCTGTTGAGTGCCCTCTGTCCCACCATGGTGCGCTGGTGGTACTTGTGGGGCTCGTCACAGCATCCCTGCCTGCTCAAGGAGCTGTGCTGTGCTGATCCATCCCCTCCTGCTGCTGCTCCATCCTTGCTCTCCATCCCTCCCTGTAGCTGATTCTGGATAGCTGTAGCTTTGTCGCCTCCTCCATCAGGGTGGGGATGACTTCAGCAGAAAATGGGATCTCTCTGGGGGACCAGAATGGGAGGGCGATGGGGATGGCATCCCAAGCTGATGCTATTGCTCTTTGGTTTTCAGTCTGAGGACTCTGACCTGCCTTACCCACCACCCCAACGGGAACCCAACATCTTCATGGTCCCCCAAGGGATCAAACCGGTCCTGCAGCGCACGGCCATCGAGGTGAGTGGCAGGGAGTGTGTGGGGCAGCCAGCAAGAGGGTGGCATGGGTAGGGTGGCATCCTTAATGGGGATCCTTGCTAGGGATCGACACTGGAATGGGTTGCAAGGCAGCTCCATGGCTGCAAGGCTGGGAACTGGTTCGACCCATGAGCTACCAACCAGAGATCTCCCTATAGCATTGTAACAGCAAATCTGGCTCTAGGTTTGCCCTGCGTGGATAAACCACGTGCCTTCCACTCCTCCTGGGTGTAGCTGTCCCAGTGGACCAGTTTCCATGTATCCTCTGTTCCTTTCATGCACTTGGCACTCCTCCTATTTCCAGGGTGATGAGAAGGCTCCAACCGAGCTGGGCCTGGGGCAGTGAGCCCCATGGAAGGGTCAGATCCTGGGGCACAGCACAGACCAGGACCACCCTTGCTTTTTAGAATGCAAATCTGCCTCACGTCAGGACGATGGTTCCCCCAAGCAGAGATGCTCTGTTGGTAGATAAGCAGTTGCTGACCTGGTTCGTTGCTCTCCCAGCAGCATGCTGTCCACCTGGTCTGCAACTGTCGAGAGGCTGAAGGCAAATGCAGAGGAAGGCCTTTGGCTCAGTCTTTTCTCCTTGTTCTTCTTGCCCTGCAGATCCTGGCCTGGGGGTTGAGGAACCTCAAGAGTTACCAGCTGGCCAGTGTCACCTCCCCCAGCCTGCTGGTGGAGTGCGGGGGGCAGCTTGTGCAGTCCTGTGTCATCAAGAATGTCAAGAAAAACCCCAACTTCGACGTCTGTGTGCTCTTCATGGAAGTGGTGAGGACCTCTTTGTGGGGTTGGCTGGTAGAGCTGGTTTGGACAATCGTTAGAACCAGAGAATCATTGGGAGCTGGAGGGAATCACAGAAGGGTTTGGGTTGGAAGGGACCTTCATAGAACCATAGAATGGTTTGGGTTGAAAGGGATCTTTGTAGAACCATAGAATGGTTTGAACTGGGAGGCATCTTCAATGATACATGGAATGGTTTGAGTTGGAAGGGATCTTCATAGAACCATAGAATGGTTTGGGTTGCAAGAGACCTTCAAAGAACCATAGAATGGTTTGGGTTGGAAGGAACATTCATAGAGCCATAGAATGGTTTGTGTTGGAAGGGATCTTCATAGAACTGTAGAATGGTTTGAACTGGCAGGGATCTTCAAAGATACTTGAAATGGTTTGAGTTGGAAGGGATCTTCATAGAACCATAGAATGGTTTG